AAAACCTGTTAAACCTTTTCTCCTGGTCTCCTGTTTGGTCTTCAGCTTTTGGGTCTGAACTTTAGTAAAATCATGACAATAATAGTATATATGATGGTTTAGATAAAACATATCAATGATTCAGAATGACCTACAGTAATAGTAATCCAATCATAGCTCAAATGCTCTTCTTTATTGGGGGGTTAGATATAAACACTATACAGTTTTTTTTTTCACTGCTTTTTCTCACTAAACATAAAATTAAATTCATTGAAGGCAACTGGGAAAGTTCCAACACTTTTGTCTGTTATAGTTTGACCAATTCAGTCTGATGAAGAAAGGTCAAATGTTATATTTGTGAATTTTTTTTAATTTATCTTAGTTTGGACCATGATCAGTTCTGATCTAGGACAGCCCAACTTCGATATTCTTAGTTTAGATTTTGCCTGAAAATACAAACAATGTTTGACGGGTTCCCCCAGATGCTTCCTCAAAATGCGAGAGCCGATGGGTTGCCAGAGTGGCTGACATGTAATCCTCCTGTGTTTTATATCACATTCAGCTTATTCGCCCAGTCTTCCTTCATACGAATTGAGGCTGCTCTTATTTCTGACATGCTGCTGCGTAACCTCACTTTTAAACTCTTAGCAATTGGATCCTTGCCCTGAGGCAGTTAGTTGTTGGGTGTCTTCATCTTAACTCCATTAGACTGCTGAGGTGTTTGATTCAACGCCAGCAAAGGTCGGCATTGTACTCATTTATGATGTGTCATTGTCTTAGACGTGAAAGCTGTTGTAACACTGCTGGACTGAAGCTGCTTGTTGCATGAGAAGCAGACCTCTTCATATTCACTGTTATTCCCCCCCGAGGGCCCTAAAAAAGTTGATGAGCCTGGCAGAGATTGCATTAATTAGTTTGCATGAGTTAGAACATTAAATTCAAATAAAATAAAGAAGAGAAGGTTATCAACTGGTGCCTGTAATTTTTTAATGACTACAGAGAAATCTGTACTGGTACTTAAAGAGAGTCATTTGTCAAAAGTCATTTAGACAAGGGGGCTTGTTTCTTACCTCAATAGCCAACAATCTGTTCTCCAGATAATCCATCAGTGCCTGGTAGTAATTCTGGGCTCCAATTAAAGTCCAGGAACAGGAAACGAGGAGGACGAGCACCGGCTTCATTATGAACTGATCAAGAGGACGTCTACTGTAAGTTTCTTTGTCTTGATAGAATGAAGAGGACTCCTCGGGTTTCTCTCTGCCGCTTTCCACTGTTAAACCATCCGAGCTGGTTACACAGTCTCTAAACAGAGCGTGCCGTAATGGATGAAGTGAGCAAAAAAAGGTGAGAATGATAGAGAGAGAAAGAGGCCAAACTGAGGGTTTCCGACTCTTTGACTGCTCTGACTTTGCTGGAATGTTTTCACAAACTCTCAGGGAGGAGCTTTGTGCCTCTAACCCGGCTTTTTGTTACAGTAGTGGACTCACTTTGGCATATGGGTTTAATTTCAGTGGTGCTACTACTGTTTCAGGTGAATAAGTGGACATGAGCACAAAAAAAGAGAAAATTGACACATAAAATTCATTCATTCACTTTATTTTAAAGGAATAGTACACCCAAAACATGATTAGCCTTCATTTTCTACTCACCCCCATGCTGAACAACACTCTGGAGTACTTTTTTGATATCTCAAATGCATCTGGAGATCTGGGAGGCTTCTTGCTGTCTGCTGACATTCAAATAATGGAGGTCTATGG